GACTTGATCTCATAACTATGAGATCATGACCTGAGCCAAGATCAAGAGTCTGCTGCTTAACTGACCAAGCCACCCAGGTGCCCCCCACTACCATTTGTTGAAAACACTTTTCTTCCTGCCTCTGAATTGTCTCGGCACCTTGGTTGAAAATCAATTGACCATAAATCAATTCTATCGCATTGAGCTTAATGTCTAAACTTATGTCCATACCACACTGCCTTGATTACCATAGCTTTGTCATAACTTTTGAAATTGGGAAATATAAATCTATTGTTTTGGCTATTCTGAGTCCTTCATCTTTCCTATGAATTTTATGGAAGTTTTTTGAGTTGAGGGAGCAAGCCATACGGGCAGCTGGGGTGAAAATGCAGTCCAGGGAGTGGGAAGAACAAGTACAAAGGTCCTCAGGTGTGAATGTGCCTGTTTACAGAACAGTTAGGAGGCCAGTGTGGCACAGTGGAGGGGAGGAGTAATAAGAGATGAGGTCAGAGAGGTAAACAAGGCAGGAGAGGAAAGGAGCCAATATGTAGGGCCTTGCCGGCCCTTTAAGAAATTTGGCTTTACTATCAGTGAATGCAGAAGTGATTGGAGAGTTTTGGGCATAGGAGCGACATGGTCTGACTCATATTTTAGCAGATTCACTGTGACTACTGTATAGACAAATAGCCAAGGGAGCAATGACAACAGCAAGGAGGCAAGTTAGGAGATGCAAGAGATGATGGTGGTTTGGACTAGGGTGCTACCAGTGGGGATGAGAAGAGATGAGAAGTGGTCAGATTCTGGAAAGATTATGAATGTCGGCCAGTAGGATTTAAGACAGATTGGATATGCAGTATGAGAGAGAGGAGTCAGCAATGTCTCCAAGGATCTGGGCCTGAACAGACTAAAAGAATAGGCAAAGGCCAAGTCCATTGAGAGGAAGGAGAAGATTTGGAGAGGAAGATCGCATCAGTTCTGGACATGACCAGTCTGAAGTACTCATGAGACCCTGGAAGTGTACATTAAGAGTTTAAGAGAGTAGTCTGATCTAGAAACACTAATTTGGGAGTCATGAACACAAAGGTAGTCTTCCTAGGTGATATTTAAATCTGGCAAAGACATGAGACTGGATGGGATCACTCAGGGACAGATGAAAAATAGAAGAGGCCCAGAGATTGCACCATGGACACCACTGTGGTACAAAGTTGAGGAGACGAGAAGTCACCAGCAGGGAAGGGAGGTCTGAGGGAACAAGAGAGGCTCCAAGTCTCCTGAGCTATATAATCACAAGTAATCTCTCAGGGTGGGCCAACTGTTGTGCATTTCTACATCTACCGTGAGCATCTTCTCTGTGTTTGGTCACATTATCAAGGCCCAGCTCAGAGATGGATCCTATCTTAAAGTCAAAAGTCCCCAGGACTAAAGTGTGAATGATTGACAAGTTTAGTCTCCTCAGGGGATATACAATATAAGAAGAGTCAGTTGAGTACAACAAACCTCTATTTGATGGGATGTTGTAAGGAATGAGGTCACTTTACACCAGAAAGAACTTTCTGTGTCTCCTGGGACAGAGAAACAAGCTCTTAGGAAAGCGTCAATACTCTTTTGGACGGTAAGATCCTAGAGGCCAGGGAGAGTATCTGTGACCCAAGCACAGCTCATAACACCTGAACAGGTGCATGCTGTCTTCCTTAGGCAGGGATAAGGCAAGAAGTGGGCTGTGCACTTTCTTGGCAATGTCTTCTTTTTTAATGTTTACTTATTTTTGAGAGAGAATGACAGACAGAGTGCAAGAGGGGGAGAGGCAGAGAGAGCGGGAGACACAGAACCCAAAGCAGGCTCCAGGCTCCGAGCTGTAAGCACAGAGCCCAACTCACGGCTTGAACTCACGAACCACAAGATCATGACCTGAGCCGAAGTCGGGTGCTCAACTGACTGAGCCACCCAGGTGACCCATCTTTTTTTTTTATGTTTACTTATTTTTGTGTGAGAGAGAGAGAGAGAGAGCGAGCAGGGGAGGGGCAGAGAGAGGAGACAGAGAATCCCAAGCAGGCTTCAAGCCACCAGTGCAGAGCCCGACACAGTACTTGGGCTCATGAACCACGAGATCATGACCTGAGCTGAAATCAAGATTTGGACACTTAACTAACTGAGCCACCCATACACCCCACTGACACTGTCTTTAAACTCAGCTTCTGCCCTATCACACCCCACGTCCCCCTTCTACCCAACCACTCCCTTTCTGTCTCTGTTATCCTTTCATTCTCTCAAGCTGAAGCCTAGTGCACTAGCCTCCTTTTCCACACACACACACACAAAAAAAAAAAATGTGGGGTCAAGAATATGGAAGAAGTGGAGAGTTTCATTTTTTCCACTCACGTCTTCATAGTTCCGTGAGAAGCGTAGTGTCCCTTCTTATTTTCCTTTCCCTCTCACAAACATCAAATCTCACCCTGTCCACCAGTCAACAAACCAGAAGGTAGCAAAAGGAGAGACTTTTCACACTAGGTTTCTTCTGCCCAAGACTCCATCCTCAGAGCTGCCACCAACTAACAAAGATGATGGGAAAGTGGCAATGACATAAACAGGACAACGGGACAGAAACACACACAGGAAACTCACAAAGAAGAAACAAGAATAGCCACTAAATACATGAAAATAATGTCAGCTCTCCAACAAGCACAACTGAAAACAATGAGACACCGTTTCACCTGTCAAAGAGGTAGCTATTCCGATTCTGATCACCAGGGTCGGCGAGAATAAGGGCATGCACAGACACTACGGCCCATGTGCGGTCCTGTGCTGCTTTCTGGAGAATGACTCGGCAACACTTAGATACCAAAACCTTTCAAAATAAGCCTATCCTTTGACGCTTTGACTCAGTGGTTTCACTTCTAGGAATTCGGCCTATGGAATCACTTAGGCAACCATGCAAATATGTACGTTCAAGAATATTTACTGCAGCATGCCTTACCATATTTTTAAGGATTGAGATCCAACTAAATGCCCCCACAATGGGAAACTGGATTCAATGAACGAGGGTTCATCAAGCAGTGGGATACTTGCCAACCATTAAGAATGATGTTAGCCCATGTGTCTTCTGGTGTGCTGCGTTGAGAAGGCTACAGCCTCACGTTGGTGGTATTCCTGGCCCAAAATGAATAAACTGAAGAAACATCAGACATACCTAAATTTAGAAACAACCTACAAAATAGCTGACCTGTATTCTTCAAACCTGTTAATATAATAAAAGGCAAAGTTCGTCTAAGGAATTGTATCCATATGAAAGGATACTGAAAAGACATGATGATTAAGTGCAAGGCATGATTCTGGACCAAGAAAAAAAATTCAGTATGAAGGACATTATGGGGCAATTGGCAGATTTGGAACATGGACAGTAGATTAGGTAATACTATTGTATCAACTTAAGTTTCCCAATTTTGATAGTTGTACTGTAGTTACATAAAACATGTTCTTGTTCTTAAGACATTCATACCCGTGTTTTTATAAGTAAAGGAATATCTTGTGTACAACTTACTCTCAAGTGGTTCAGAAAAAAATACTGTGTATTTAGAGAAATAATGATAGGGGGTGCCTGGGTGGCTCAGTCGGTTAAGCATCCGACTTCGGCTCAGGTCATGATCTCACGGTCCGTGAGTTCGAGCCCCGCGTCGGGCTCTGTGCTGACAGCTCAGAGCCTGGAGCCTGTTTCAGATTCTGTGTCTCCCTCTCTCTCTGACCCTCCCCCGTTCATGCTCTGTCTCTCCCTGTCTCAAAAATAAATAAACGTTAAAAAAAATTAAAAAAAAAAAGAAATAATGATAAAGCAGGTGTGGCCATGATGCCAGTTGGTGAATCTGAGTGAAGAGTACCCGGGAATTATATTCTGCCCCTTTGCTGTGAGCTTTAAATTATTTCCAAATAAAAAAGAGTTTTATCTTTTTTAATATATGAAATTTATTGTCAAATTGGTTTCCATACAACACCCAGTGCTCATCCCAAAAGATGCCCTCTTCAATGCCCATCACCTACCCTTCCCTCCCTCCCACCCCCCCCATCAACCCTCAGTTTGTTCTCAGTTTTGAAGAGTCTCTTATGCTAATAAAAAAGAGTTTTAAAAAGGGAAGGTACTCCGGGCACACCAGGCTGAGCTTTGGGTACCACAGTGCTGGGGCTGTGCATGGCTATTGATAACACCTCCAGCCACCCCAGACTCTTCAGCTCTCTGTGCTACTAAGGAAACTCAGTGAGTGACTGACCCTGGAGCTGTCCTGGGTTGACTCCAAAAAGGTAGGATGAGTCAGGGAAATGAAGTCTCTTCTGTCGTTTTATTTACTCCAGTTCTGAACTCAGAAACTGACATTCCGTACATCTCAGAGATCTCTGTGGTAGAGAAAGGGAAGGGAACCTACCTAAATATAGAGTTTGCGCTGGATAATCCAGACTGCACATTTCAGTACCGACAACGTCCATTTATCATTGATATTGGTTTTATACGTTTGCCAACAAAGGAAGGCCAAGATTTCCCCCAGAACCAGCCCAGTAACTTGCCCATTCCCCCAAGGGAGAAAACAAAGTCCCCAGCAAGGGCCAAGGTAATGGCTAGGAGTGCCCTGCATTCCCACTGCCAAGGTTAGTGGTTTCGACTTATAGAAAGTTGCAGAGTGTCCAAGAAGCACGGATACTAACCTGGAACAGAAGATGCCTCAGCACCCCACACCTCTGTTCCAGGCCCTGACCCTCCCAGGGCAAGGGTAAGCCACCTCGTCATTCTCATCTCTAGAAAGGGGAGACCACACAACAACAGAAGGGCTGGGACTGAACCCAGAACCCACCCCCCAGCCCGGTGCTCCCGTCCTGTTCACCTGCCACACCATCCCACTCCCCATCTCCCCAGGGGTTGTCAGGGACAGAAGGCCCCTCCCTCATCCCCCTCAATGTTGTTTCACTCCTCCCCCTCCCATCACTAGGGTGTCCAGGACATTGTGTGACTCAGGAAACAGCTCAGACGTGAGGCTTGCAGTGGGCAGAGGAGGAGGAAGGGGCCGTGGGAGCAGAGGAGGTGGCTCCTGCCTCGGTGAGGGCTCTGAGGGTCCTTGCCTGAGGAGGCAGAGGATCTGGGTGTGGGGCGGTGCTCTGGAATGCAGCCCCCTTCACTGCTGCTGCTGCTGTGTCACTCAGTCGTCAAGACCAGAGGTGAGGCATGGGGTAGGAGAGGTGACGGGACCCATCTTCCTTAAGAGGGTGTTGATGGGTTGGGGGCGGAGGGCCAAGCCCCGTGCTTTGAGAGGACACCGGGTGGAAGAGAAACTCACCACCATCACCCCCCAAATGCAGGGAGAGAAGACTCTGCTGCTGCAGCTGCACAAACCAAGGCTTTGGGGCCTGTGCCAGGGGCGGTGACTGTCTGGGGACTGGGTGGGAGGGTGCCCGCCTCAGGGAGAACCCAGTTGGCCTTAGTGCTGGGGGACAGCAGGCTCTTGCAATCACATTTAGGAGGTAAAGAGGGGAAAAGACTGGCCACCTGCTAGGGAAGGCGATGAGAACAAAGCAGGAGATGGAGACATGGGAAGGTCAAGGGCTGACCAAGTCCCTTTCCCGGTCCAGCTGTCCCCACCCCCCGGATGGCTCAATGCTGGGCCCTTCCGGGAGGAAATCCCTTCAATGTCTCAGCCATTCACCTTCCAGGAGTTCCCTGGGCCCCCCTCCTGAGCGCTGTTGTCTCCATTCCAAGGGATGGAGCCTGAGGCTGGACTTGGAAGGCTGGCTAATAAACAGGAAAGGGGGTGGGGATTAGGAGCTGAGAGGATCCCCAGGCCTGGGATGGGGGCGGGGCGATGCCAGAGCAAGAGCACCACTCCGGTAGGGATCAGGCAAGTGCAGAAGTGGTGGTGGCTGACAGCACGTGTGGGGCTGCTGCAGGCAGCAAAGCACCCAGAGAAATCTGGGAGCACAGCGCTCCCCACTCCTATGCCTTCCTCATCTCCATCCCTAGTGCTTCGGTGTGGGGACTTCCCAGAACCCTGTGCCAACGGAGGCACCTGCCTGAGCCTATCTCAGGGACAAGGGAGCTGCCAGTGAGTTCTCCTGGGAGTGGGAGACCAGAAATGGGGAGGGAGAGCTGGGGAGGAGGAGGGACTGGGAAGGAAGGAGAAAGGGAGGAGGTAAAGGCACTAAAGGGAAACACATGAAGGCAAAGGAAGGGAGGTGGGAGAGAAGGCAAAGAGGACCCAGTGACTTAAGTTTTCCACTCTCCTTCCCTGCTCAGGTGTGCCCCTGGCTTCCTGGGTGAGACATGCCAGTTTCCTGACCCCTGCCAGGATGCCCAGCTCTGCCAGAATGGGGGCAGCTGCCAAGCTCTGCTTCCCGCCCTCCCAGGCTCCCCCAGCCTTCCCTCTCCCTTGGCCCCCAGCTTCTCCTGCACCTGCCCCTCTGGCTTCACTGGCCACAGGTGCCAGGCCCAACTCAAGGACCCCTGTTCTTCCTTCTGTTCCAAAATGGGCCGCTGCCATATCCAGGCCTCAGGCCGCCCGCGATGTTCCTGTCTGCCTGGATGGACAGGTGAGCACTGCAGTGGTGGGGAGGACGGGACAGGCAGGAACACTGGACTGGGAAGTGCGGTGGGAAACATGGAACTGGAGTCTGCAAAACAGCCAGCCCCTTTGAGGACAGAGGCTGTGAGAATCAATAAGCCCTCTTGCTGACCATTGACCCGAGACACATTCACCAGCATGGCTGTACCAATGGTTAAAACGTTGAAGTGTTTTCCAACCCGTTAGTAAATGGCTACTGCCATAGCCCCCTTAGTGCCCCTGCCTGGCCCCTCGACCCAGTAGCTAGAGGGTTAATGCCTAGCACAAGGCAGGGAGAGGGGAACCTCCTAGATTCTGCATAATGGGCATCTGGCCTTTATTCTTCCCAGTAGGAGCCCATAACAGCACCTGGAAACACTGTGGTGGTGGGAGGTGTAATGGGGGTGGAAGGGATCTGACCCAGAGAGAGGAACGGGTATCAAGGCAAGGAAGAGGGGTGCAACCCGGGGACGAAGGTGTGGGACCCCTGGTGGGCAGGGTGTCCTAGCCTGGGGAAGCAGTCAGGGGTATGGGACAGAGGTGAGAGCCCCTGGAGAGGAAGGCTCCCCTGATCTACCAGGAGGGAGGGGACTGGACAGGGCAGTGAAGACCACACGGGGAGGAAAGTGATCTGTGAGGGGTGGACTAGAAGAGCAAGGCTTCTCAAACGTGGCAAGGCACAGCAATCACCTGGAAAGCCTGCAACATACTGGTGCCCACGTCCCAGAAAGGCTGCTTTAGTGGGTCTGGGGTGGGCCCAGGCATGGAGATATTTTGAGTGCCTGGGTAATTCTGAGGATTTCGGGGTGGCAGACCAGCCTCTCGTGGTATGACAACAAGGAGGACTGTCAATGGCAACTTGCCAGGCCTTGTGCTTCAGAGCAGAGGCCCACGTGTCCAGTGCCAGCTCTGCCACCGATGAGACACGCGCCCTTGCATCAGGTGGTTAAGCTCTCTGCATCCTCAGTTGCCAGCTGATGTCCACACTTCATAACACTGTTGAGAGGAGGAAAGGGAGTGATGTTCAGGAGGTGGTCACTTAGCCCAGTGCCAGCCGCCACCACCGCCATTGCCACTGTGGGGAACAGATGAGACGTCTGTCTCCTTATCATTGGCTGCAACACTGTACCCACCTAAAGATTAGGAAATCCAGGCAAGAGAGGCCAGACACACCTGAGGGCACACAGCGGTGGTGGCACAGCAAGGTGCCGAGTCTGGAGGCCAGCTGCTTTTCTCCTCCCCACCAAGGAAAGGCCACCAAATTTGGAAGGACACTGTGTCTCAGGTCTGCTCAGCAGGGCCAGCCTGCAATACTCCCACCAACAACGACGGGTCCCATTTTCCAGAATGCCAAACCTGAGGCAAGGGGTGGTGGAGCAGGGCAAAAAGCGTATGGGAACAAAGAGAAGGCAACATGAAAATCAGACACAGATAATCCAGTGAGAGAACTGGATTCTCCCAGCGGAGCGGGGGCCGGGGATTGAACAGCGCGCTCTGTCCTCTGCCTCAGGTGAGCAGTGCCAGCTGCGGGACTTCTGCTCAGCCAATCCCTGCGTCAATGGAGGGGTGTGTCTGGCCACATACCCCCAGATCCAGTGCCGCTGCCCACCTGGCTTCGAGGGTCATGCCTGCGAACATGATATCAATGAGTGTTTCCTGGACCCAGGGCCCTGCCCCAAAGGCACTTCCTGCCATAACACCTTGGGATCTTTCTGGTGTCACTGCCCCACTGGGCAGGAGGGTCCACGCTGTGAGCTCCAGCCAGGACCCTGCCCCCCTACGGGCTGTCCCAATGGGGGCACCTGTCAGCTGGTTCCAGGGAGAGACTCCACCCTCCACCTCTGCCTCTGCCCCCAAGGTGCGTCCTCACGTCTGCCACCCCTCTCTCGGGGCAGGGAGGTCCCCTCCCCTTCGCTAATCCCATGACCCTGTCAGGTTTCAGAGGCCCGAGCTGTGAGGTGAATCCAGATGACTGTGCTGGGCACCAGTGTCAGAACGGGGGCACTTGCCTGGATGGGCTGAGCACCTACACGTGCCTCTGCCCAGAGGCCTGGACAGGTGAGTGGTTTAAGCCAAGTCCATGGCACCCGTGGCCCATATGATCAGCCCCTAGCCTCCCCTCCTCACAGGGCTCCCAACTCCAGCCTTTGTCCCCTTCCCATCCCATCCCCCACAGGCTGGGATTGCTCCGAAGATGTGGATGAATGTGAGGCTCAGGGTCCCCCTCGCTGCCAAAATGGGGGTACCTGCCAGAACTCAGCTGGCAGCTTCCATTGTGTGTGTGTGAGCGGCTGGGGAGGCACAGGCTGTGAAGAGAACCTAGACGACTGTGTTGCTGCCACCTGTGCCCCGGGATCCACCTGCATCGATCGTGTGGGCTCCTTCTCCTGCCTTTGCCCACCTGGCCGCACAGGTGTGACAGAAGGCTCGGGGAGGTGGCCGTGAGGATGACAAGTGACAGAAGCATAAGGGGGGCAGCTGGGATCCTCAAGCGGCCCAAGAGCCTCATGCCCATCCTGCCCTCCAGGACTCCTGTGCCACATGGAGGACATGTGCCTGAGCCAGCCATGCCACGGGGAAGCCCAGTGCAGCACCAATCCCCTGACAGGCTCTCCACTCTGCCTGTGTCAGCCTGGTTACTCGGGGCCCACCTGCCACCAAGACCTGGATGAGTGTCAGATGGGTAAGGCACCCCCACATCAGATCCTCTCTGAGTCCCAAACAGCCTCTGCAAATTGTTTTTCAAATTAAAAATACAATCATCTCTTTTTTCCCAATTTTGTCCAGATTTGGCAATTTTTCCCTACACGGTCTTCTCACCAGTGCTTAGCCCTCCGGGCCCCACTTAGTCCTCGTCTGTGTTAAAGACACCAGCCCTTTCTCCGATGTGTTCATTCTGCCACAAGCAGGCCCTCACACGCCTTCCCTGGCAGTCTGGCCTCCTTGCCCTTCTGCCCTGGGCCCCTGTGAACTTCTGACTCCTCTCCTCCTAGCCCAGCAAGGCCCCAGTCCCTGTGAACACGGCGGCTCTTGCCTCAACACCCCTGGCTCCTTTGACTGCCTCTGTCCCCCTGGCTACACGGGCTCCCGCTGCGAGGCTGATCAAAATGAGTGCCTGTCCCAGCCCTGCCATATAGGCAGCACCTGCCTGGACCTGCTTGCCACCTTCCACTGCCTCTGCCCACCAGGTACTAGATGGATGGGGCCCTGAGTAGAGGACACAGGGGACTAATCCTGAACACACTAGGCATGACCCCTCCAGAACATAGACAGCCCCAGCCCAGTTGGGATCAGCTATCAAAGAATACCTCTTTCTCATCTCCCCACCCAAGATGAACACTCTGGGAAACCCATGGCCTCTAGGAAAAGGGCAGCCACAGATGGTACTGAGGTTGTACACTGCTCAACTCTGGGGGTGAGAGGAAAGCATTCACTTCATAGTCATTGTAAAGTGCGCGGCCTGGTCCACTGTACACAGAGGCCCATCAAGGAAGAGCAGAACAACAGCAGCCTCGGCTCATGCCAACTCAGAATGTTCCTCCTAATCACAGAAACTCTCCCCTGTAGAGATTGAGTAAATCCTTAAAACCCCAAAGGGCCTGTATGCTTGAATTTGGTACAATAGGAAAAAAAAAAAAAAAGTGCCACAAGGCTGCACCTACCTCCAAGTTACTTTTAAGGGAGACAGGTCTCCCCAGGGGTATAGTGACCAACCCGATATCAGGAAGCTGAATGAAACCAAAAAAATAACAGCTTACTTTATGCCAAGTACCACCTGAACATCTTACATGCATTTTGTCATCTTGGCAATAACCCTCTAAGGTCAGTATTGTTACTGTGTCCATTTTACAAGAAACAGGCACAGAGGGATTAACTGAGTTGTCCAGCCAGTAAGTGGCATGGCCGGGATTCAAACCCAGGGCTTCAGTAGATTTAACCACTACACCAAACAGCCTTCCTAAACTGAGCAGCATCCAAGGAAAAAAGCTGAGAAAACCATGCAGTCCTCCAAGGGACAAGGTCATAGATACCAAGGAACTTCGGAAGCAGAATCCCCAGGCAAGAAGTGGGAGGCAGCCAAGGTCTAGAGGCTGATCCAGCTTCAGTTCAGGGTGAGACTGTGGATACCAGGACAAGCCCAAAGATACAGGACAAATATGTGACCAACAAGCTACCCAAATGCCCTTCAAATACCCCCCCCTTGGGGACTCCTGGTCTCCCTGGCACAGAAGCCTGCTGGGGTAGAACAAGAGGCATGACTCACCTCCAGGCACATGGCCATTTGTTTCATTTGACCTTGAGGACCTCCAGGCTCATTAGCCCAGCCCAGTGAGCCTGCCGTCTGGGCACAGAGAATGGCCCCCAAAGGTACTTCCTTGCTGCCCCCTCGGGTCCCAGCAGGCGCCTTGCTCCCTGAGCTTTCACATTTAAAGGGGGCAGAGCCACACACAGCAGAGCAGCAGGACCGCGGGCTCGTCGCCCCAACCTTCAGGCACACAGCACCCTGGGAGGGTTCTAGAACCCTGGTCCTCCTGGGCAGAAGGAGTGAGCAGCCCGGGCAGGGCTCAGCCTGCACCACATCTCCACGTCCCAGGCTTAGAAGGGCAGCTCTGTGAGGTGGAGACAGACGAGTGTGCCTCTGCTCCTTGCCTGAACCAGGCTGACTGCCAGGACCTCCTCAACGGCTTCCTGTGTGTCTGCCTGCCTGGTGAGTACAGATTCCACTCCAGCCCTTCAGCCCAGGCACCTGAACCACAGTGCAGGCCCAGCAATCCCAACCTTTTGAAGTTCACCCTGGCTCGGCCAACGAGGCTCCCATTTCTCCCAACTCCTCTGCTCCCCCAACTCTCTTCTGTTACATCCCAAACCTTCCTCGCGTCCTCATCCACCTTTATCTCTGTCCTGCCAATTACCCAAATCGTCCCTTCTGGCCCTCCTCCAGAGTCCGCTCGTGGGGAGCCCAGGCTGGTCTTGGCACTGCTCACCCTGGATGCAGGGAAAACTGCCCCCGGCCTTCCTTCTCCACCATTATCGATCCCTCTGTTCCCTGATGTGATGATAACAGATGTTTCTTGAATATTTGCTCCAGGCCAGGCACTTGGCTGTGTACTTTTCAGGCATTACCTCATTTAATCCTTTCAATGACACCATAAATTAGGTTCTATTATTCCCCTTTTACAGAAGAGGACACTGCAGCCTAGAGAGCTTGAGTAACTTGCCCAAAGTCACACAACTGGCAGGTGCTGAACATCATCCTCCTGTCACCTCCACCTGCCCCAGGTGTCTTCTCTGGGAAGCCACCCAGATTCACTTTTCCTGGTGAGGGGAGGGGCCCGACTTGCATTTTTGCTTTTGATACATAGTATTTTCACCATTCACACACACAGCCAGTTATACCTTCTTTATATAAAGAATAAAGTTACTAAGATATGCTGTTATGTTCTGAAATTCAAATCACTCTTTGAGAAGCCCCCAGATTGGTACCTTCATTATATAATGATACATGCAGATGAACCTCCAAACCAAGCCATTTGAAACAAGATTCTCTTCACTGCAATTCATAGCAATGTTATTTCTGTCTGTGTAAATACAAGGTTAAATATCGGCATTAACTCTAAATTTCTTGTTTGAATCCATGAAATCATACCTGTACATCTCAGTCACAAATATTTGTAACAAACTCCCTGATGAATCCAAAGTCAGGAAAGAAAGAAAAAGAAGGAGAGGAGAGGAGAGGAAACGAAAGGAAAGATAACCTTTACCATCTCTCCCCACTTACTCCCTGCCCCCCAGGATTCACTGGCTCCCGGTGTGAGGAGGACATCGATGAGTGTAGAAGCTCTCCCTGTGCCAATGGTGGGCAGTGCCAGGACCAGCCTGGATCATTCCACTGCGAGTGTCTTCCAGGTAGACCAGTGCTCAAACACTGCAGGGAAGAGTGGGGGCCAAGTGCAGACTCCCCTGCAGGTCCCTGACCCTCCTGCTGTGCCATAGGCTTTGAAGGCCCTCGCTGTCAGGCCAAGGTGGATGAGTGTCTGAGTGGCCCATGCCCCACTGGAGCAAGCTGCCTGGATCTCCCAGGAGCCTTCTTTTGCCTCTGCCCCTCTGGCTTCACAGGTAAGCAGGGGAGGTGTTAGAAAGGACTGGCAGGATAGTTGAGTCCATTAGGGGTGGAGCAGAGGTCACTGCTGGATATTCAAGGGTTGGAATGTAAAAAGAGAATGAGAATGGAACCCCTTCAAATTATTCAATGCAAAACTTGCACAACCTCAGGCTGACAGCAGATGTTATTTACAGGGCCCACACTGGGCCCAACATGAATGGTGTGATTAGGGCTCAGAAACAGGATGGGGTTCAAGAGGAAGCCATTCATTTGCTTATTGAGAATGTATTAAGTGCCTACTATGCACAGCCAGACACAGACACAAGTTGGTAAGAGACCTGCTCTCTTCAAGTGGCGTTAAATCTAGTGCAGAGAGACCAAGAAGTCTCCTGTTGGTTATGGCCACAGGTGCTCTGAGAGAGACTGCACAGGATTCTATAAGAGCACAAAGGACCAGCCAACCAGACTAGAGATGAGAAGGCTTCATGAGGAGGTAATGGCTGAGCTAGTCTGGAAGAATGAGTAGGAGTTTGTCAAGACAGAATGATTACATGTTTTAGCTGCAGGTAACTGCATTGCGAAATGATGCCATGCAGGACCCTGTGTGCCATTCTGAGGAAGTTAGACAGTATCCTGAGGCAACAGGGAGCCACTGAAGGACAGGTTCGTGGGGAGTGAGCAAGTCATATGTAAAAAGTGGCTTTGGCCCCATCAAGGACATAGAAGGACTCTGTTTTCCCTCTGACCCATCTCCCCACCCCAGGTCATCTCTGTGAGGTTCCCTTGTGTGCCCCCAACCTGTGCCAGCCCAAGCAAAAATGCCAAGATCAGGAAGACAAGGCCCACTGCCTCTGCCCTGACGGAAGCCCTGGCTGTGCCCCCGTTGAGGACAACTGCACCTGCCACCACGGACACTGCCAGAGGTAACCTTCCACTGTCCTCTGGGTCCTCCTCAGCTAGGCCAGGGGGAGACAACCAGGGAGGGGTGAGTCTGCAAGAAATGACCAATAGGGAAGAAGAAGGAAATGGCCAAGTTCTGAGGTCAAAGCCAAGGTGAGGGATCCACTAGTGAGTGCTATCCCGTGAGGGGAGAGTTCATAAATAACAGGAGAAACGGAGGGCTAGAGGGTCAGAACAGGAAGAAAAACATGAAATCCCAGGGCCAATTAATCATACATTAGAGGGGTACCTGGGTGGTTCAGTCAGTTGAGC